GTGTGCACGCAAGGGTGTTTATACAGATCTTGTTGGGTGGAGTGTTCTGCAGATGTTTGCTGGTCCCGTTGGTCTGTGGTTCAAGTCTTTTATTTTATTGTTGATCTTCTGCCTCTTTGTTCTATCCCCATCAAAAATGGAGTATTAAAGTCTGCAACTATTATTGTTGAATTGTCTGTTTCTCCCTTTAATTCTGTCAGGTTTTCTTTATGTTTGTTAGGGCATTATTGCTCGGTTCATATATATTTGTAAAACTATTATGTCTTTCTAATGAATTGACTCTCTTATCAGTATAAAATGTCTTTTTTTGTCTCTATTAACAATGTTGTCTGATGTTAGTACAGCCACTCCACTTCTCTCTTGCTCTTTTTTTTTTTTTGAGTAATCTCTGTATTCAACGTGGGAGTCAAACTTACAACCCTGAGATCAAGAGTCGCTTGCTCCACCAGATGATCCAGCCAGGCACCACCCCCAGCTCTCTTTTGATTACTGTATGCATGGTTTATTTTTTCTATCCTTTCACTTTCTATCTGTTTCTTTCTTTTCTAACGTATGTCTCTTAAAGACAGCATATAGTCAGATCATGTGTGAGTTTTGTTTTTTAGTTTTGCTTTTCATTTCATGTTTATTATCAGTGCTTCACTACAGAACATTTTGTAATGATTAGTAACATATGGATACCAAGAGTTTTTTTCAAGCGCCAAGTGCCAATATTTTATGGTAAATATTAATGTTCCAAAAACAAAATAATCACACATAACACAATATCAGGAGATGGTTATGCCATCAGCATAATTCACCCAAATTATAAAAAGAGCAAAACTTAAAGCCATGCACATCATGTCACCATTTCATAAAACTTCTTTTTAACTTCTACAAACTTTGCCAGTATAAAAAAGGCCCTAAAAAACTTTGTGGTGGGGTGCCTGGGTGGCTCAGTTGGTTAAGCATCTGCCTTGGGCTCAGGTCATGATCCCAGGATCCTTGGATGGAGTTCCACATCAGGCTCCTTGCTCAGCAGGGAGTCTGCTTCTCCCTCTCCCTCTGCCTCTGCTGCTCCCCCAGCCCCCTGCTTGTGCTCTCTTTCACTTACTCACTCTCTCAAATAAATAAATAAAATCCTTTAAAAAAACTTTGTGATAACATAAACTACAAAACTCATTTTGGAAAAGTTAGAGGAGTTACTTTTCAAATTTTGGCTTTAAGATTCTTTGGGTTTTGTTTTTTTTTTTCAATCTGTCAAAAAGTGTGGTGAGGACTGTATTGAGAGAGGTGAAGAAAGAGGAGCTTCCAGTTGATGGGTTCAGTGTGTCTCAAGATACTCAGTAATGCAAAGGAAAATTTCAAGGGCAAGAATATATTATAAATAAGAGTTTTTGAGCAAGATGAATGGATAAGCAGTTCTTGTATCAGTTGCATCCACAGGAAAGAGGTCTTAAAGAATGCTTGCTTACAGAAGTTTCTGTAAGACAGTGTTGGCTATCTCCAATATTCATCTTTTACTGAAACAATATCATAAGGGTCCATGTACTTTTCTCTTTTTTATTATTTTTTTATTTTTAAAGATTTTATTTATTTATTTATTTATTTGACAGAGAGAGATAGCAAGAGCAGGAACACAAGCAGGGGGAGCAGCAAGCAGAGGGAGAGGGAGAAGCAGGCTCTCTGCTGAGCAGGGAGCCCAATGCGGGACTCCATTCCAGGACCCTGGGACAATGACCTGAGCCGAAGGCAGACGCTTAATGACTGAGCCACCCAGGTGCCCCTCCATGTACTTTTCTAAAAGCTCATCTACTCCATCATTTTGATATCCAGTTTCTAGAATGTGTTCAACATTGGCTAGTCCGTCTGCAATTCTCAAGCCTCCTTGGGAGTCTCCCAGCAGAGTTGTGTTGTTACTGTCTTATGGTTGATTTGAGATGTTCTGTGTTGTTCAAAGCCCTACCATGTTTATTTAATTCATGAGCTAGTTCTCCTTTAAGTCTTTTGAACACCCCATTTTCATCAGAATCCATGGAGTTAGTCATGACTCTGACGTTTGGATGATCAACACCAGCCTGAGGGATAACTTCTAGTACATCACCCATACCAGCTGAAAATTTGAACACAGGGAGACTGTGTTGTTGGAGCTTATTGAAGACATTCTCGTATCCTTCCTTGAACATACATCAGATTCTGCCGTAATTTCTTTCAGTTTAGCTTTTGGTAGAGCTTGTTCAACAAGCAAACCCTGTGATTTAGGTCACTGTTGAACCATATAAGGGTACTTCTCTTCTATTGGAGGAACAGGATCCATTTTACTAACATAATCTTTTTCCTTTAGTTGTAGTAATACTTTTTGGCCTCCATCTGTAACCAGCTTATAATTGTCAATGATATTATGACATGTTGGGCATCCTTTCCCTTTGTAGAAAAATCTACTTAGTGTCATGCCAAAGTCTATTATTATCTGAAAGGTGACAGGTCCTTCTTTGATAAGACCACAGATAATTTCTTCTCTTATAGGGTTCTTGATGTGAACTGAGCTTTTTGGAATTTTGACCTCATTTTCACACACACAGCAGATTCTTAATTAGTCACTTCTTGGTTATTCAGTTGTCCTCCAAGGCACTCTGAGTTCTTCTGTTCTTGATTGTCCTAGAGCCACAGCACAGACAGAAAGCAACATCCAGAGATGCAGGGCTTGGATATAGGCATCTCAGTGATCTTGGGCTTCTGCCTCATGTTTCTCTTCAAGGTGAATATGTCCTGGGCCAGCAGCACTCCTGCCACCAGGACACACATGCGAGTGCTGGCCATGGCTGCCTAGTCCATGGAGAGGGTCTCATGTGCCTCCAGGCCCAAAAAGAAAAGGTTGCACACAGTGAGTGTGGGCCCCCTGGATCATGTTTTTATTTTTTATTTACTTTTTTAAAAAAGATTTTATTTATTTATTTGACAGAGAGAGACACAGCGAGAGAGGGAACACAAGCATGGGGGAGTGGGAGAGGGAGAAGCAGGCTTCCCGCTGAGCAGGCAGCCCGATGCGGGGCTCGATGCCAGGACCCTGGGATCATGACCTGAGCCGAAGGCAGATGCTTAACAACTGAGCCACCCAGGCGCCCTGGATCATGTTTTTAAATCCACTCTGCAAATCTCTGTCTTCTGATTGGAGTATTTAATTACTGATAAAGTAGGTTTACTTCTTCCATTTGCTTTTTGTTTTCTATATGTCTTGTCTTTCCTGTTCCTCCATTCCTCAGTTTTGTCTCCTTTGTGTTAAATAAGTGTACTCTGGTGTACCGTTTTAATTCCCTTGTTGTTTCTTTTACTGTATATTTTGTTTCATTGATTTTTTAAGAGATTCTTATTTATTTGAGAGAGACAGAAAGAGGGAGAGGCACAAGCATGGGGAGGGGCAGAGGGAGAGGGAGAAGCAGGCTTCCTGCCGAGCAGGGAGCCCGACGCGGGACCTGATCCCAGGACTCTGGGATCATGACCTGAGCCGAAGGCAGACGCTTAACCGACTGAGCCACCCAGGCGCCCATGGTTGATTTTTTTAGTGGGTCCATAGCAGTGTTCAGTGTAGAGCCGATTATTCTCCACTTTTGAGGTAACACCTTTCTGAGTACTCTCCTGAATGGAGTTTTTTCCAAACTGGCTGATAGAAACAGGCACTGTTCCCAACCCTGGGAGAGTCTGGGCACTGTTCCCTCCAGCCTTGCAGATGGCTCTTTTCCCAACCTTGGGTAGTTTCCTCACATATACATGCTGATCATTTCTGTGCTGAACACCCAGAGAGGACTCTCTACAGATCTCCTGAATCCTCTCTATGTGTATCTCTCTTTCTCTCTCTCTCTTTTTTTTTTTTTTAAGATTTATTTATTTATTTGAGAGTGAGAGAGAGAACATGAGCCAGGGAAGGAGCAGAGGGAGAGGGAGAGAGAATCCTCAAGCAGACTCCCCCTCCCCGCTGAGTTCGGAGTTTGACACAGGGCCCGATGCCAGGACTCTGAGATCATGACCTGAGCCAAAATCAAGAGTCAGACGCTCAACCGACTGAGCTCCCCAGGCGTCCCTATGCTTCTCCTTTCTTTCTCATACTCTGTCCTGTGAGCTGTTTCAGTCTCCCTGAATGCTCAGGTCTGTCCCCTCAACTCAGGGAGTCCCACTCCTGGAAATGCAGCCTGAAGACTCTATTGAAATGGCAGTAAGCTGAGACAACAGTAGGGCTCACGTAGTTGGTCTCCTCTTCTTTCAGGGATTGCTAGCCTTTACTAGCTGATAGCCAGTGTCTAGAAAACCACTATTTCATCGTTTTGAGGTTTTTGTTTTGTTTTGGTTTGGTTTTTGGTTTTGGTTTTTACAAACAGGAGGTCCAATTCCTGTTATTCTATGTGGGCTAGAAATGGAAATATCCATAATTTTTTAATGGATTCTTAGTATTCTACTCTATAGGTGTGCCCCCTACATATATCAGTCCCCTACTGATAACCTATTTTCATAAACAGTGCTGCAGACTCCGTACGTATGTCCTGGAGCCTTTGTAAGAGTCCTTAGAGAAAATCTTATCTATGGAATTTCTGGGCCCTAGAGTTTGTGCATTTACATTTCAGATATATTGTTTACTTGCCCTGCAGTGATACTTCTACCATCGGCAATGGGCCAATGATGGGACAAACTTTATATTTTAAACTTAATAAATTACTCATGTCTTTTATTTGTAGACCCAGCAATAGTTGGAGTAGATCGCTTGTATTATGTGGTGTTCCTGCTGTCTTTTATGAGGGGGATTAACATATTATGATGTCATTTGCAAATGTGCAGATTCTCAAAGCCTTGGAGACCTATCCTTCAAGAATGTCAAAGTCTTTGTGTCCAGCCCAGTTTTGGGGACCAGAGGGTGTGTTTTTCCAAAAGCCCTAAGTCATCCTAGTCAGATGTCCCAGATTTTCTTGTCTTAGAGTGAGCGAGTCCTTTCTACTTGTAGTTAACTGTCTTCTTTCTTCCTCTTCAACCAGAGCTCAGAGACAACAACAGGACTCCCTAAACGCAAAGGGCGCACTTCCGTAACATCAAATGATATACTTCACGGTGGAGTCCCCATCAAGCGCTCAAGTGCTGACCCAGCTCTGGATTTTCCCAGTGGTTATGGCTCAGATCAGACCTTATCAGGAGTCAGTGGCATAGGAAAGCCCTCTGAAGGGGTTACCAGGGAACGAAGCAGAGGTGTCTCTGCTACTACAGTCCCGGGTAGAGAACAGCACCCAAGGGCCCGTGATGAAGGTGGCCTGGCAAAGTCCCATCACCCGCCTATGTCCCAGTTCAGAGTAGAATCAGATCGTCACAGGACAAGAGAACTGCCGCCGCATAGCTTAGCCCATCTAAGAAAAGATGAACAAGAGGCACACCCTGGTCCAGTTCAACAGGACTTACCTGCAGCCACTGTGGCCAGAGATCAACATCATCAAGTATCCCCAGATCAGCATAGGGGGGTGTATCCAAGCCAGGGTCAAATCTATCCCAGGCTAGTTCAGCATGGATTAAGACCACTTGGCACGGATCCGCTTGCATGGCACCGTCCTAGCACCTGCCCACACGGTGTGGTACCCCTCAGCATGGGTCAGTTTGGTATGATGCCACCTGGAATGGAGGAGCAGGGCTTGGTACCACCTGGCATGGGTCAGTATGGCATGGTGCCACCATTGGTACCTGGCACAAAACAGCAAGGAGTGGAACTACCTAGTACAGCTCAGCCTGGTATGGTTCCACGTAGCACATATCAGTATGGCATGGTACCTCCTGGCACAGACCAACAGCCTGGTGTCGATCAGCACGGATTGGTACCCTTTAGTATAGATCAGCATGGATTTTTAATATCTGGCATGGATCAACAAGGATTAGTACTGCCTGGCATGGATCAACATGGATTGGTTCCACATCTTACAGATCAACATGGTTTGGTATCCCCTGGTTTGATGCAAGTTGCTGCAGATCAGCAAGGTTTTATACAGCCCAGCCTGGAAACATCTGGGTTCATTCAACCTAGTACAGAGGAGCATGATATAATCCAGCCTGGGGCAGATCAACACAGTTTGGTACCAACTGGTACAGATCAGGCTGCTTTGGCCCAACCTGGTGCAGGTCAGCGTGGTTTAGTGCAGCCTGGTGCAGGTCAGCGTGGTTTGGTCCAGCCTGGTGCAGGTCAGCGTGGTTTGGTTCAGCCTGGTGCAGATCGGCATGGTTTGGTGCAGCCTGTTGTAGATCAAAGTGGTTTGATCCAGCCTGGTGCTTACCTACCTGATTGGGTACAACCTGGTGCATATCCCAGTGGTTGGGGACAACCTGTTGCATATCCATCTGATTTGGTACAGACTAATGTATATCCATCTGTTTTGGTACAGCCTAGTGCAGGTCAGCCTGGTTTGATACAATCTGGAATGGGTCAGCAAGATTCAGCCCAACTTAGAATGGATCAGTATGCTTTGGTGCATCCTGAAATGGATCAACATGGTTTGGTCCAAGTTGGAATGGATCAGCATGGTTTATTCCAACCTGGCACAGGTCAACCTGGTTTAGTGCAGCCTGGTGCAGGTCAGCGTGGTTTGGTCCAACCTGTTACAGGTCCACGTGATTTGGCCGAACCTGGAGTAGCTCAGCATGATCAGGTCCAACTTGGAATGGATCAGCATGGTTTGGTGCAACCTGGTGCAGGTCAGCCTGGTTTGGTCCAACTTGATGCAGGTCAGCCTGGCTTGGCGCAGCCTGGAATGGATCAACGTGGTTTGGTCCAGCCTGGTGCAGGTCAGCCTGGCTTGGTCCAACCTGGAATGGATCAGCGTGGTTTGGTGCAACCTGGTGCAGGTCAGCCTGGCTTGGTCCAACCTGGAATGGATCAGCGTGGTTTGGTCCAGCCTGGTGCAGGTCAGCCTGGCTTGGTCCAACCTGGAATGGATCAACGTGGTTTGGTCCAGCCTGGTGCAGGTCAGCCTGGCTTGGTCCAACCTGGAATGGATCAGCGTGGTTTGGTACAGCCTGGAATGGATCAGCGTGGTTTGGTGCAACCTGGTGCAGGTCAGCTTGGTTTGGTCCAACCTGGAATGGATCAGCGTGGTTTGGCACAGCCTGGAATGGATCAGCGTGGTTTGGTGAAACCTGGTGTAGGTCAGCCTGGCTTGGTCCAACCTGGAATGGATCAGCGTGGTTTGGTGCAACCTGGTGCAGGTCAGCCTGGCTTGGTCCAACCTGGAATGGATCAACGTGGTTTGGTCCAGCCTGGTGCAGGTCAGCCTGGCTTTGTCCAACCTGCAATGGATCAGCGTGGTTTGGTCCAGCCTGGTGCAGGTCAGCCTGGCTTGGTCCAACCTGGAATGGATCAACGTGGTTTGGTCCAGCCTGGTGCAGGTCAGCCTGGCGTGGTCCAACCTGGAATGGATCAGCGTGGTTTGGTGCAACCTGGTGCAGGTCAGCCTGGCTTGGTCCAACCTGGAATGGATCAGCGTGGTTTGGCACAGCCTGGAATGGATCAGCGTGGTTTGGTGAAACCTGGTGTAGGTCAGCCTGACTTGGTCCAACCTGGAATGGATCAGCGTGGTTTGGTCCAGCCTGGTGCAGGTCAGCCTGGCTTGGTCCAACCTGGAATGGATCAGCGTGGTTTGGTCCAGCCTGGTGCAGGTCAGCCTGGCTTGGTCCAACCTGGAATGGATCAGCGTGGTTTGGTGCAACCTGGTGCAGGTCAGCCTGGCTTGGTCCAACCTGGAATGGATCAGCGTGGTTTGGTACAGCCTGGAATGGATCAGCGTGGTTTGGTGCAACCTGGTGCAGGTCAGCTTGGTTTGGTCCAACCTGGAATGGATCAGCGTGGTTTGGTCCAACCTGGAATGGATCAGCGTGGTTTGGCACAGCCTGGAATGGATCAGCGTGGTTTGGTGAAATCTGGTGTAGGTCAGCCTGGCTTGGTCCAATCTGGAATGGATCAGCGTGGTTTGGTGCAACCTGGTGCAGGTCAGCCTGGCTTGGTCCAACCTGGAATGGATCAACGTGGTTTGGTCCAGCCTGGTGCAGGTCAGCCTGGTTTGGTCCAACCTGGAATGGATCAGCATGATTTGGTCCAGCCTGGTGCAGGTCAACCTGGCTTGGTCCAACCTGGAATGGATCAACGTGGTTTGGTCCAGCCTGGTGCAGGTCAGCCTGGTTTGGTCCAACCTGGAATGGATCAGCGTGGTTTGGCACAGCCTGGAATGGATCAGCGTGGTTTTGTACCACCTGGTGCAGGTCAGCCTGGCTTAGTCCAACCTGGAATGGATCTGAGTGGTTTGGTGCAACCTGGTGCAGGTCAGCCTGACTGGGTGCAGCCTGGAATGGATCAACATGGTTTAGTCCAGCCTGGTGCAGGTCAGCCTGGTTTGGTCCAACCTGGAATGGATCAGCGTGGTTTGGTACAGCCTGGTGCAGGTCAGCCTGGTTTGGTCCAACCTGGAATGGATCAACGTGGTTTGGTCCAGCCTGGTGCAGGTCAGCCTGGTTTGGTCCAACCTGGAATGGATCAGCCTGGCTTGGCACAGCCTGGAATGGATCAACATGGTTCGGGCCAACATAGTGCAGCTCAACCTGGTTTGGTACAGCCTGGTGCAGGTCAGCCTGGTTTGGTCCAACCTGGAATGGATCAGCGTGGTTTGGGACAGCCTGGTGCAGGTCAGCCTGGTTTGGTCCAACCTGGAATGGATCAGCATGGTTTGGTGCCGCCTGGTACTGGTCAGCCTGGCTTGGCACAGCCTGGAATGGATCAACATGGTTCGGGCCAACGTGGTGCAGCTCAACCTGGTTTGGTCCAACCTGGTGCAGGTCAGCCTGGTTTGGTGCAGCCTGGAATGGATCATCGTGGCTTGGGTCAACGTGTTGTAGCCCAGCCTGGTTTGGCCCAACCTGGTGCAGGTCAGCATGGTTTGGCCCAACCGAGAATGGACCAGCGTGGGTTGGTACAACCTGATGCAGGTCAGCCTGGTTTGTTTCAGCCTGGCATAGGTCAGTCTGCTTTTGTCCAACCTGGTGCAGATCAGCGTGGTTTGGGGCAAGTAGATCAGCGTGGTTTGATACAAGCTGGCACAGATCCACATGGCTTTTTTCAACCTGGTGCATATCCTCCTGGTTTGGTACAGCCTGGTGCATATCCGCCTGCGTTAGTACAGCCTGGTGCCTATCCACGTGGTTTGGTCCAACCTGGTGCCTATCCACAAGGTTTGGTGCAATCTAGTGCCTATCCACGTGGTTCGGTTCCACCTGGTGCCTGTCCTCGAGGTTTGGTCCAGCCTGGTACATATCCAGAAGGTTTCCTGCAGCCTAGTACTGATCAGCGTGGTTTGGTTCAACATGGAATAGATCAGCATGGCTTGAGGCAACCTGGTACAGAACGAGGCTTGATACCACCAGGCACAGAGCTTCGTGGCCTTCCAACATTCCACCCTGAGTTTCCAAAATTTTTCTCACATCCCTATCAGCATGGTGTAATACCTCCTGGCAGCTATCAACATGATCAGGTGTCACCACTCCTAGCCAATCAAGGTTTGGCATCACCAGGTATTGGCCAAGAGGGTTTATCAGAAACTTACCAGCAAGGTTTGTTACATCGTGGCACAGACCAGCATGGCCTAACACCATTAAGCACCCGTGTGGGATCTGTACAGCGAGATCGACAGCATTTGGTATCACCTGGCCCAGATCAGCAAGGCCAGGTACAAGCAGGTACAGACCAGCGTGACCGTGCATACTCTATCCCAGAATCTCGTGACCTATTGTATCCCGGCCCTCACGGCCCAGGCATTCTGGCGGTAGATCCGTACGTCCAGAAAGGTTTGGATCCAAAACAAATATATGCCTCGGACCAACCTGGAATTTCTGTCTGGACTACTCCAAGCCAAGCAGCCGCCTTTGCCAGGAGCATGGACTCTCTTAACCATCTCTACCGAGTCTCATCAGAAAAGAGTGATTTCCAGAGCGAAAGACATGATTCACTGGATAAATTGGCTCCGAGCTTCCCCATGGCAGTGGAAACATTTCGTCTGATGGGCGAGCTCATTGGCCTCTATGTAGAGCTCAAGGAGAACATGAAAGAGCTGGATGAGGAGCAGGAGGGCCAGACCGACTTGGAGAAGATCCAGCACCTGCTCGGGCTCATGGGTGGGTTCCACTGGTGCGGAGGAGGGACCACTGTCTGTGTATTCAACATCCCCTGGCCTCATCTGGCGGCTGGGCTTCTTCCTGAGTCACTGCAAATAGCGTGTCCCTTCTTAGCCTTTCTGGGCTCTACCACAGCCTTTGGGGTCCAAAAGATAGACTTAAACCAGTCGGAGTGAGGCGGTTCCAGTGCCCTGGCAGACTGTGTGGACAGCAGCTGAGGACGGTGGGCGGGGAGGGAAGATGCCGAAGAATTCAACTTCACCTTGGTCCATGCACAGCTGTGGGCCCAGAGAATAATTAAGATTTGAGAGATGGGTGGAAAGTGCGGGTCCGTAGTGCCAAAGCCCTTCGGGACAGTAAGCACTGGGTGGATTTTTTAGACGGTAGGGATACCCCTCTTTCCTTTCTTCCCATCCTCCCCCTTCCCCAGTCACCAGGACAAGCAGAAGCGAGGTGTCCTGCTGTTTGCTGGGGTAGCTTCCCCGTGGGGGCTGGGAATGGGGATTGGGGGCCTGCTGGAGATCTAACGCTTCTGACTAAGAAGGCCTCCACTTCCCACAGTCAAAAAGAGTCTACCCGCTGACCTGCAGGAACAGCTGAAGACCTTGAAGTCCTTGACCAAAGAAGTTTGGCAGGAAAAAGCAAAAGTAAGTAAGGGAGGGCCCGCCCACTTTGCCTTTGAGTGCCAGTCGTCTGATCACTTTCCATCTGTATTTTGATGGATCACAGGATCCTTGCAGGACATTATTATCTCATTGGATCTTTACAAACCCGTCAGGTAGGAAATGCACCTCAGGTATCATCATGTTCATTTCCTGATCTCAAACCTGATGCTCAAAGCCCTGAAGATCTGGCTGAGCCAACAAGGAGGCCATCCATGGTCCTTCCGTTACATGGGGGGCCATTTCCAACAGATCCCACTGGTACTGAGGCAGCCTTGGAGCCAAGTTTGTGGGACTGTCTGGGGCCGGTGGCCATGGAAGGGGTTGCTGGGTCTTTGTTCTCTTAAAGCCAGCTGTCCACGGGATGGACGGATGGACGGACAGGTGGATGGATGGATGGATGTCCAGAAGGGACACACTGACAGATGGTTTTTGTTAGAGGCTTAGATTAGGACGAGGACTCGGGAGAGGGGCTTGCTCGAGCTGCGGACACATATGCCGAAGGCAAAGAACTCAAGCCTACCTGACCTTCCTCTTCATTGGGTTTGTAGATGGACAGGATACAGAGAATCCTGGAGGGCACCGGGGAGCAAGAAATAGGAAAAGAAATGAAGAATGGCCAGCTGAGCTTGCAGCTGGGAATCCTCAGGTAAAATGCCCCTGCTGAGGGCAGCTTGTGTCCGGGCATCTCATCTCCCCAGCCGAGGAGGTGATGGCAGCCTTCGGTTCACTCACAGTCTGAACTGGCCCCTGTCTTTGACCCAGGTTGTGTCTGCCTTTCAGGGTGTCCGTTTGTAGTTCAAGTTGCTGGTGGAAGTTTCCGAGGTTCTCAAAACAGTTCAGCACCAGGGCTTGGGAGAAAAACAGCTACCAGTCTCTGTCCCCAGTTGGAGGCTGGAGGAGAACACTTACTTGCCAGAGCCCCCTGAGAGCCCTCTCTTTGTGGTGCCAGGTCGCACCCCCTAGAAACCTCTCAGGCCAGCACGGGGGTCCCCACTTCCCAGACAAGCAGCACCCGGGACTCCCTAGACAGAGCCTGCTGCAGGGAGGGCCCAAGAGCCGTGGTATGCATCTTCTTTCTGTCCCTGATGGGACTGGTGGGCCTGGGCCCTGGGGTGGGTGGCGGGGCCAGGCTGTCTCTTTCTGCACATCTCTCAGAGTTACCGTGGCTGACATTGAGAAGGAACTGGCCGAGCTGAGGGAGAGCCAAGAGCGGGGCAAGGTCAGCATGGAACATTCAGTCTCCGAAGCCTCCCTCTACCTGCAGGACCAGGTGAGACCAGAGCTCTTCTCAGAGTGAGCTATGGATGGTGGGACTACTAGACTCTTAGCTGACATACAATTTGCAAATAATTTTGCCCATCCTGTGGGTTGTCTTTCCACTCTCTTGTTAGTGTCTGCCTTTAAGATTTATTTATTTCAGAGAGAGAGAGAGCACAAGTGGGGGAAGGAGCAGAGGGAGAGGGACAAGCAGACTCTGTGCCAAGTGTGAAACCTGACGCGGGGCTCAATCCCACGACCCTGAGATCATGACCTGAGGTGAAATCAAGAATCGGACACTTAACTGACTGAGCCACCCAGGCACCCCGATAGTGTCTGCCTTTAAATCTTGAGTGATGCTTCGTCGTCAGTCATCCCAGAATGTTCCCACTGAAGAGCTTCTGGACCAGGAACAGCCCTCTTGCAGAGGATAGGATAGGAAAAGCCACTCGGCCAAGGGGACTCATGTCAGGAGCCCCCTCAGTGATAGAGGCCCCATTCTGGGCCACTCCCACGTTTGCCAGGACACTGGCATGTACCATTTCTTTCTTTTTTTTTTTTTTTATTTGAGAGAGAGAGAGAAAGCACAAGCTGGGGGGAGGAGGAGTAGAGGGAGAGGGAGAAGAAGACTCGCTGCCGAGCAGGGAGCCCAACGTGGGACTTGATCCCAGGACCCTGAGATCACAACCTGAGCCAAAGGCAGATGCTCAACCAACTGAGCCACCCAGGCGTCCCTGGCATGTACCATTTCTTGACCCCAAGCCAATTGTCCAGTGTGGGGCTTGAGGAGCAGAAGATTTATGTGTCCACAGCTTCCGTCTAAGCTTAGCAACCTCCAGGGTTTCCGGGGGCCACACTCGGAGAGAAGCCACGCCCCGCTGGGCAGGCCCAGGCTCCCGCCACAGCCTCTTCGAGGCACTGGCCCCCACTCTCCCAGATCTCCCACCGTCTTAGCTTCCTACTTCAGAACACACTGCTGCTTTCCCATGCTGCTTCTCGTCCCGGAACATCCTTGTCACCCCCACTTACCCAGCGGGCTCCTACTGGTCCTTCACAACTCCACTAAAATGTCCATAGTTTGGGGAGGCACCTTCCTCTCTTCTAGGGAGAATTAATCCGTCCTTTTTATCCCACGGACCCTCTGACATGCTCTTACGGACTCTTCAGAAGAGTGTAGGCTCTTCCGGGTGCAGAGCAAGGGTCTCACGAACTCAGGCAGTAGGGCGCTTGGTTGAAAGTGCCTTGGTGTGTGGGGGCTGGAAAAGGCAGGAACTCCTGGGCCAGGGGGGCCGTCTGGCCGGGGCCACTCCTTCTCTGTCTTTCCGTGTCTGTTTCTGTGTGTCCCTGTGCCTCTGTGTCCCTGTCCTTATCCATTTCTCTCCAATACCTCCACATCTCCCTCCCACCGTGCTCCCAGCCCGCTCTCCCTTCTCTCACACATGGCCCACAGGGGCTGCCTAGGCCCCGCGCTGTCACACACTTCCAAGAGAGGGGGTTCGGTTGGTCCAGACCCTCTCTGAGCCCGGCCAGAGGTCCCACAGCTGTGGGACCAGCTGCCCGAGAACCGGGTGCCAACCCGGGCGGGACCAGTCATGTGGTAATGCACGGGGACTGTGGGACACAGAAGAGGACAAGAGAGCCAGTGCAAGCATCTGCTTTTGCCCAGACCGAGAGAGGCCCCCGCAACAGAAGTAGCACCCATCCCACTGATTTCTTGTTACTGACATGCGGGGTGGGGACAGAGCCTGTGTGAGCCCACCCCTCCCGTCCCCAGGGCCCCAAGCTGCGACTGGGTGTCGTCAGGCTCCCCTAAGTGTTTGTGGACTAACGGACATCACCACTCGAGGGTTTAGCTAGAGGAGATGTGTCCTCACGCTGAATCAGTGAGCTGGCTGGAGAAAGGTCCAGAAGCCTCCATCCTGTAGGGGTTTTATTCAGCATCAAGGCTACACTCGCTGAGAACTCTGTTCACTATTTAACAGACGGGCACTGGGCGCCTCCTGCGTGCCCCACATTCTGTGAGGCACTGGGGGTGCAGCGACTGCCCGAATCACGCGGGCGCTGACAGCATGGACAGAACGTGGCCATGCCTCGCTCACTGCCCTGCACCTGCCTTCTTGCCCGCACCCAGCTTGACAAGCTCAGGACGGTCATCGAGAGCATGCTGGCCTCGTCTTCCACGCTGCTGTCCATGAGCATGGCTCCTCACAAGACCCTGTCAACCCTGGAACCTGGCCAGATTGACCCTGAGGCCACCTGCCCCGCCTGCAGCCTGGACCTGAGCCATCAGGTCAGCATTCTGGTGCAGCGCTACGAGCAGCTCCAGGACATGGTCAACAATCTGGCAGCCTCCCGGCCTTCCAAGAAAGCCAAGCTCCAGAGCCAGGTGACTGCCACTGGCCCCCCTCCCGGCATGGCCACCCATGCCCCACAGTGGGGAGCCACAGGCCAGCGGCCCACAGAGTGGGGAGCGGCTGATAGAGCTTTAACTGGCCTAAGGGCCAGTTTTCCATAGTGGAGCCCTTAACTGACCCCACAGGAGTCCCTGGGCCTTTCACTAGGTCACAGCGAGGACAGCAGCCGAGCTGGCTCTGGGGACAAGAGACCTGGCTCCGTGGGGGTGGGACGGCACAGCTGGCTGAGGGGTGGAGCCGTGCACTCATGTGCCTCGGGGGACACCGGCAGAGCTTTAGGGTTCATTGACTCCCCTTCACACCAGTCTTCCAGGCCCCTTCTTGATTCCCCACCAAAGGGCAGGCTTGCCGGTGGGGACAGGGAGAGTCACAAGTCCCTGAGTCCTGCCTCTTGGATCCTGGAGTTCAGATCCAGCCCAGGGCAGGTGGGGAGACTATAGCCCACATCCCAGCTCTCAGGAGCCACAGGGCAGCTCACCACTCTGGAGCCTCTACTGGTCACCCCCAGCGGCAGACCAGTTCCCCCAAGGCTAGACCATGGGGTGGTGGGGGACTGAGGCTCACATCCCGTTGGGTGGACACACAGAAAGAGCAGAGAGCCTCCCCACTATCGGGGGGAAATTGTGGAGAGCCAGAATGGGGTCCAAAGTTGGCCTACCTGCTGGGTGATTTTTTTTTTTTTTTTAATTTATTTGAGCGAGAGAGAGTGAGAGTACATGAGCAGGGGAGCAGCAGAGGGAGAGGGAGAAGCAGGGAGCCCGATGTGGGGCTCGATCCCAGGACCCCGAGATCATGACCCGAGCTGAAGGCAGACGCTTCACCGACTGAGCCACCCAGGCGCCTCTGGGTGATGTTTTAAGGGCTGATCAATCAGGCCAGCAATACTGCCCAGTGGCCCCAGGGAGCCTGCCTTTGTGCCACCTGCCACAGGATGAAGAGCTGCTGGGCCGTGTCCAGAGCGCCATCCTGCAGGTACAGGGCGACTGTGAGAAGCTCAATATCACCACCAGCAACCTCATCGAAGACCATCGGCAGAAGCAGAAGGCCATTGACGTGAGGGGCCCGCAGGGCTGCCGGGGCGGGGGCGAGGCCGTTCCCGTCCTGGCTCCTCATTCTCTGTTCCCTCGCCTCCCAGGTACTGTACCAGGGTCTAGAGAAGCTCGAGAAGGAAAAGGCCAACAGGGAACACCTGGAGATGGAGATGGACGTGGTAAGGGCCAGGCCCGGAAGAGCCACCTTGCGTCCCACAAGTTCTCAGCGGTCATTCTTCGAAAGGCCAGGAGTGAAGAGAAGCCCAGAGGGGGAGCTCAGCGTCCAGGCTTGATGCTTCAGGGCAGTGGGGCCCCTCCATGGCTCTCTCCCATGTGGGGGGCCCCCTCCTCTCTTTCCGGGCAGAAAGCCGATAAGAGCGCCCTGGCGGCCAAAGTGAGCCGTGCCCAGTTTGATGCCACCACGGAGCAGCTGAACCACATGATGCAGGAGCTGGTGGCTAAGATGAGCGGGCAGGAGCAGGACTGGCAGAAGATGCTGGACAAGCTCCTGGTGGAGATGGACAGCAAGGTGAGGGCAGAGGGCAGCTCCCGTCTGGATGCTGCAGATGGCTCCCCCACCCCCGCCTGGCTTTCCCAGCGCTCACTGGTCACTGCCCCACCTGCCCCCCCCCCGCAGCTGGACCGCCTGGAGCTGGACCCCGTGAAGCAGTTGCTGGAAGATCGCTGGAAGTCCTTGCGGCAGCAGCTCAAAGAGCGCTCTCCACTCTACCAGGCAGACGAGGCGGCGGCCATGCGGAGGTGGGGCACGGACGACAGCGGGGGCTGGGGGGGGTCCCCAGATGAACAGCTCTGGGGGAATGGCTGATCCCACTGGACCATCCCACAGCTGCCGTGACAGAATTTGAGAGCTTGAAAAGCTCTTCCAGCTTAGGCCGGTTCCTTAGGGCGGAGAAAGGGCGGGGAGAGAGGCTAAGGCTCTCTGGCACGGCTGTGCTCCGCGGGGCCGCCGTCCTGGGGACGGGCCCACAGTCCCCAGAGCTGAGCCTGCTCGTGGGGGGCTGGTCCACGGCAGGCTGGAATCCCAGGGTTTCCATTATTGGCCGCCAGAGGGCCCCCGAGGTTCACACAGGGCATCCATCAGGGGCCCTTTGAAAGCCTGCTGGCTTTGGGTTAGGACAGGTGGGTGGTGGATGGGCGCCCCAAAGCTGGCATGCCTAGGAGCTAGTGTGTTCCCAGGGAACTGGGACCAGATCTGCCTCTGTGGCTCGGGGCCTGCCACCCTGGTGAGCCGAGCTTCCGGCCCGCCTGGCCTGCAGAGGGGCCGTGGCCTTCTGTGTCCTCCGTCTCTCCCATTCCCGACCCTCTGGGCAGGGCACTCACCATCCGTGTGTATCCCACTCCTCACAGGCAGCTCTTGGCACATTTCCACTGCCTCTCTTGTGACCGTCCCTTGGAGACAGCTGTGACTGGACAGTGAGTGCCCACACCTGGCCAACCCCAGCTGGTGGCGGTCATGGGGGCGGGCCCAGGAGGGCTGCAGATCCTCCATTCCCTACCTGCCTCCAGCTCTTGTCCTTCCTCGTCTCCTCTCCCCCGGGTCCATTCCTGTGTGCCTGACCGCTTGCTAGCCCTCCGTCCTTCCCTCCGCCTCACCCTGGACCGGAAGCCTCCTCCGGCACGTAGACTGTGGAGTCCTGGATTTGGGAATGGGATTTCTCACTCCCCAACCCTCCTCTTCTCTCTGTCCCTGCCCAGATTTATCCCTGTGACTCCTGTGGGCCCAGCCCTGCCTGGGCACCGTTCCCTCCGCCCCTACACTGTCTTTGAGCTGGAGCAGGTCCGGCGGCAGAGCCGCAAGTACGGGGCAGTGGGCTTCCCGGGCAGGGCTTCACAGGCCAGACGGGGGCAGAGGCTGGAGGGCGAGTGTGGGGGGCTCCTCCTCCTGGCTGGACAGTGGGGGGCACGGAGTGATTTCTGGGCCAGCCCCCCAGTTCTTCCCCGGGAGACCACTTAGTAATCCCCTGCCTTTGAGTCCCTACTGGGGGTCCCGGTGGGACATTGCCAAGGGTGCTGGCTGTCTGGGGTAGCTCCTCTTTTTTTTTTTTTTTTTTGGGGGGGGGAGAAGGTGGGGAAGTATTGCACACTCCCTCGGGCTCCTGCCCCCCTCCCCGCTGCATTTCCATCTCCCAAGGATGGGGGTTCGGCAGTAAGGATGGTTTGAAACTGCACTTCGGAACCCTCGGGGTTCCAGGGAGGCAAGGCTAAGTGTGCAGGGCTTCTCCCCATTTCAGCTTCTGCCCTGCCCCATCCGTGGTCCCTCGGAGTGCCATGGGAAGGGCTCCTGCCCACACAGGGTCCTGCTTTAAAAGGCGCAGATAAAGGGGTGGCGTGGGCCAGGGTCTGAGTGTGGGCTCAAGCTGGTGTGGCCCCCTTACCCCGCCGTCTGCCTGCGCCCTACAGCCTAAAGCTGGGCAGTACTGCCTTCCCTCGGGGCGAGTTGGCGCACATAGAGCGGAGCGTGGGGCGCCTGCGCACCATGCACTCCAAGATGCTGATGGACATTGAGAAGGTGCAGATCCACTTTGGAGGCTCGGTCAAGGCCAGCAGCCAGATGATCCGGGAGCTGCTGCAGGCACAGTGCCTGAGCTCCCCCTGCTACAAACGGTAGGACCACACAGACCGGGCCGCTGGCCGCGGGGCTCAGCTTCTGCGCACCCATAGCCCTGAGAATGTCTCATCCACCGCTGGGGAAAGCCCTGCCAAGGAGGGGTGGCGGGGCAGGGGGTAGAAAGAGGGTATTAGAGGTCTTCAGGGTGGCCCAGCAGTGGGGTTGCTCGGCTCACCCATTCCCTTGCTCCTGCCCTGGCTCCCGGAGACCCCCGACACAGCGGTCCCACCTCTGGCCGGCTGGCCCCCACCATAGGTGGGTCGCAGGTGACACCTCCTCCCGGTGACTCTGCCGTCCCCATCACAGGGTGCCGGACACCGCCGACTACACGTACTCGAGCGTACCCCGGCGCTGTGGGGGCAGCCACACCCTCACCTACCCCTACCGCCGCACCCGCCTGCAGCACCTGTCCCAGGGCCTGTACCCCCCCGAGGAGGTCCAGATCGCCATGAAGGTTGGGGGTGCTGCCTGGGAGTGAAGAGAGAGGGCCCTGACATGACCCCACGTTCTCAAGTCGTTCTGGAAAAACCACCTAAGTCACCAGAAGGGCGGATGACCAGCCCTCTGCCTGGAGGCTGTTTCTGAAAGCCTCTGGTTCTTAGGCTTTGTTGGGAAGAATGCCATCCTGGCCACCTGCCATCCTGGCCACCATCTAGCACTACCATCCCCACCATGGGCCCTCTCTTCACCCTGGCGCTGCCAGAGCCCTGGGGGAGGGTTCTGAGCACCGTTTGGTTCTGGGAGTCAGGAGAGGACGTCACTCGGTGCCCCCCAGCCCTCGTGGAGGAAGGACCGGGGGGCACGCTCTAGGTGCCACATGGTAATGGATGTCCCCCTCCACCCCCACAGCATGATGAGGTGGATATCTTGGGCCTGGATGGACATATTTACAAGGGACGGATGGATACAAGGCTGCCAGGCATCCTGACCAAAGACAGTGAGTGTCCCGGGGGCCCAGAGGCTCCTTGCTCGAGTCCCCGGGGGTCTGTCCAGTTCCTGGAAGGCCGTGGGGCCCCTGGATCCTGGGTGCCTTCTTCCTCCGCTACCTCCCTGATTGCAAATGTCCTGAAAGCCCCAGGTCAGTGTTTGCAGGTCGGAGGCAGCCGTCCACTCTCAGCCAATGAGCCGGGACGTCATGGCCGCATCTTTCTTGTCAGCCTTCCTCCTCGTGCTGCCTCACTGGCTTGCCTGCCTCAGCCTCTGTTCCCAGCACCACCGGGGCCGAGTTCTGCCCCTCCTTCAAAACTCAAAATGCCCCTCCTCAGCCCCCCACCACTTGGAGAATTTCCCACCCCCCTGATGCCCACCTCCAGCGAGCCAGACCGCACTGTTTATCACTCCCCACCTGCTCTTAGAGCACTGTGTGCACCTGTCTAGCCGCCTGCCCTCCTGAACTGTGAGCCCAGGTCAGAGCCCGCCCAGCAGCAGGCACAGGGCTCCTGGGTGTAGGTCCCCAGAGCATAACTGAGTGGGTGGGGGGGTGGATGGACGCACGGACATGGGAACGAATGGAGTGCTTAGAAGGCGCATTTCCATCAGTTCAGACGGGGAAGGACCCCGGCTGAGGCTGGCTGTGACCGGTGGCCCTGCAGCCCTCTCCCCATCCCACGGGTCCCCCCAGAGCTCTCACTCGGCGTCTCGGAACTGACCCCCCCCTTCGCTGTCCCCCGCCAGCCTCCATCTCCGGGATGACCAAGCACAAGGCCAAGCAGTCGCAGCCCCACGTGCACAGGCAGCAGTCCCTGAGCGACAACGGCCAGCTGCCCTCGCGGCCTCAGAGTGCTCGGATGCTGGCGGGCAACAGTCCAGGTAGCTTCCCTTCGGCTGGAGCAGCCTTCCAGGTGGCCTCCCCACTGCCCCAGGGCCTCTCCTGCTTGCCCCGCCGGCCCCCTTTCCTGTCCCTGATGGTCTGTGCCCTCATTTCCCCGAGAGAGGAAGTGCGTAGGAGCCGAGAGATGGGATGGGAGGGAGAAGAGAGAAAGTCCATCTTTACTGAGTTCCTGTTATGTGCCAGGGCTGTACTGTCCGATGTCCCAGAAGAGGGAACAGGGGCAGGGTTGCAGCCCAAGGCTCCGGCTCCAGACCCGAGTCCTGCCCCGGCTCACAGGGGCTCACTCTGCTGAAGCTGGTGCTCAGCTCTGGGCGGCAGCTGGTGGGCACCCCTCAGTCCGACCTTGTCTGGGGAGGAGCTTCTCCTCACCCCCAGGCCTGGAAGGCCCCCTGAGTCCCCATTCTCCCCTGAGGGGCTAAATTCTGCCTGAAAGTCTGGGTGCTAAGGGTCCCCCAGGGTCCAGCCACACTTGGGGACCAGAGAAGGACACAGGCCTGGAGCCACGAGGCCGGACCACCTTCAAGTGACTCTGAGCAAGTCTCCCCCCATCTCCAGACCTGTTTCCTCATCTGCCCATAAAGGGGTGCTGGATTGGTGCTACTCAGAGTCGGGGCGCCCGAGAAAGGTGATCTAACGAAAGGGGCTGACCTTCCTCCTATACAAAGTTACGTTCTCCCAACACTTTGCAGATGCCTGCAGGAGGTTCAAGGGCCGCCCCCCCTTCCCCCACCCCTGTTAAAGGCCCAGCCCTAGATGCCCTTTACCACCCATTCCAGTTCCAGCGCTCAGTGAGTGCCTGGAGGAAGCGGAAACAGAAGTGATAGCCCAGGTCGTGGCACCTCGCCTTTAGTTTAATCCTCACACCAACATTAAGAGGTAGGGACCACTGTGAGCATCACTTACAGCTGAGAAAATGGAGGCACAGAGAGGTTAAGGTACTTGCCCAAGGTCAGACAGCTAGGAAGCAGCGGGAGTGGGATTCAGACCTAAGCTGTCTGCCTCCGGAACCTATGCTGGTCACAACGTGTGGCAGGTGACTCAGTGGCGGACGGGCCGGGACAGACGACTCGGTGGCGGACAGAGTGCGGGGCTGTGACTGCGTTCTTGGGGGCACTTAGCTTCCTCCTTCTTGGCACTCCACTGTCTACTCCGAGAGCACCTAAAATGTCAGGGGAGCAGGAGAGGGAGAGAGGGCAGGCTTAGGAACAATTCCTGCATCTGTTGGTGTGAACAGTGCCTCAACAGCCCCTGCATTACTAGAGGAAACATCACTTAAGAGGCAGGCTCTCTTGGCCACCAACGGAGGGCTTGATTATTTTTAACTCCCAGAGATTAGCAAGGAGCTCTGCTCAGGAGCTCCCGTGCAGGCTTGCACTGCCCACCACAGCCCTGCGGGGCCCCCCTCCAGCATTCTGCCCGCCCCCCAACCGGCCTGCCCTTCGTGCAAGCTGGGGAGGGCCTGGCAGGCTGCGCCGGGTGTGGGGAGTGGGACAGAGCCACCTCAGCCCCCATGTCTCACAGCTCCTCCTCGTCCGCGGAAAGACAGACCCTTGTCCTCCGAGGGGCACCTGGCCCAGCCCAACGCAGCCCACCCGCCCAGCCCCAGCGAGATGGAGATGCAGATGGACTTGCCTCCCGGGGAGGGGCTCGAAGAGCCCACCCGGGGACCGCGGTCCACCACTGCTCATTGACCAAAGTTATTAATAAATGTGTGGGAAGAAGCTTGGGGGCAGCGACGCTTCAATGGGCTTGTCTCAGGAAGATGGAGTGGAAGGGGAGGGACCCAGCCCGGGGTCCAGGTGGCCGGCCTTCAGTTATTGGACAGGTCGGACTTACAGCCTGAGAATGAGACCATGACCCGCCCCGCCAACAGATGAAGCTACCCTCCAAGGGTGCGGGGGCTTCAGGAGAAGCTGCAGAGGCCGGACCCCAGACCCGGGGGCTGGCGGGCCGCAGCAGGACCCACTCTCACCCCTGTCAGCTCTCTCCTGACCTCAGCGGGACCCCGAGGCTGCTGCCTTCCCGTCTGGGGAGGCTGGGGCGTTCAGGAGAGGTTGGGGTTCGTGGTGTCCGTGCACCAGCCGTGCCGTGCAGTCAAGGTGAGGGTGGCAGCGCCCGGCTCCTGGCACCACGTCCCGGGGGAGCAGGGCCCCCGGGCACCTGGGAAGTTTTCGGCTTGCTGCCTCTGCAGCTTACCCTTGAGCAGCTGCTACAGAGGCAGAGGGGCTGCCTGGCCTAGGCTGGTTCCCTGCTCCGCTCACCCCTCCCCAGAAAGAGCAGAAGGGTGTCAGGAGGGGGTTTGCCAGGTGACTGCCATTTGCCCAGCAGCCTCCAGGCCTAGCCTTTGTCCTGCCCCAGCCCGCTGGGCTCCACTAGCCCCAAACAGGCACGAGGGTTCAATGCTACCCTGAGTCCTTTGTGCTAAGGGTCTTGGCAGGTTTGAGGGGACAGAGGAGCGAGGGGCGGGGACTGAGCTCAGCAGGTGCAGCAACTCTAAGGGACGAGCCCCCAGGTCCCACTGGAGCCCTGAGGACAAGGGAGAACTGCCCTCCCCCTGCGGCCTCTGAAGTCACAGAAGCAGCTTTCCTGTCTTCAGGTCTGTCCTCATGGGGGGCCCCCACCCCCAGTCCCCATCACCCCGACATGGGAAGGGGATGTCTCACATAAGAGGCCTGCTTTAAGGTGTGAGTGGATGGGGTGACAAATGACAAAAGGAAAGTGTGGCAGGAAACTGCCCAGAAAAGGGTTTCTCCCCAGTCCCGTGTGGGCAAAGGAGGGTGGGGTTGGCTGGGGGTGTCATGGGGTAGGGCAGGTGCTCCCTATGGGGTGTGGGGGGGCTTTCCCCTACTTTCCCCATGGGCTGAGACCCCATCCATCTTCATACAATGATCTAATGCTCTGGCTAGACAAGAGGAGGGGAGCAGCTTGAACCTGGGGGCCCGGGTCGGCAGGCCTCACACCAGGTACCCTTTCCTCTCGGAGCAGGGGGCAGGGCCCGCTCCAGCCCCTCTGCTCCCACTCGGGCTCCTATTTCTCACCTTGCCTGAGAGATGTCAGAAGGTTGCCAGCTCAGTGTCCCTGGCCTAGAATCCAAACTCACCAGCTTGGCAGGGAGGGGCAGAAGCAGGCCATCCCAGCCCTCCACACCCAGACCTCCCCCGCGCAGGCAAGGACACGGAGGGGAGGACATTCCCCAAGCAGCGCAGGCCAACCCCCATCCTCACACCTGGGCCAGGCCGCCCACCCTCCCCAGGCTGTGGTCCACGCGCCAACCCCCATCCTCGCACCTGGGCCAGGCCGCCCACCCTCCCCAGGCTGTGGTCCCAGCGTGGCCGCCCACATGCCCTGCAGGGACTTCCCCTTGCAGCCCCGGAAAGCACAGGTGGGCTGGCTGAGGGGTGAGGCCGGGAGGAGGCCCAGGGGTTTCCAACCAGGAAACAAAACTGAAAGGACTAACCCATCCTCAAAGTAAACCATCCCATGCAGAGGGGCTGAGGGCAGCTGTGGGCAGGTTCTGCTTGGCTCTGCAGGGGCCGCTGGGCGGGCAGGCTGGAGGAGGTGGCCTGGCCTACTACGCAGGGCCCTTCTCAGGTGTCACTCCCACTTTGGGTATGAACCTCCAGCCCCTGCAGCCCCAATCTACAGCACGGTCGATTACAGGGCTCTGGCCCCCCGAGGGAGAAAACAAGCCCCCCCAACACACACATGTTGAAGGGGTCTTGGGGGGCCGGGGGGGTGCAAGGTAGCATCCCTCCTCCCCAGCATGAGGCTGAAGAAATCCCAACCCTGGGGCCAGCCACCCACTCCTCCAGCCCCACCTCACCACCGGCACTGCCCGGTCATTTGAGCGAAGGCCCCACTGGGCCAGGAATCCCCAACACTGCTTCTGTTCCAATGGCTGGAGGCTGTGGGGAAGGTGGGAAGGGAAAGGAAGCCAGTCCCTTTGGGGACTCACCCTGTCTCTGTGGATCCCGGACAGCCCTGGTTGACCTCTGGGGGATGGCCGCTCAACATGCACTCAGGGCCAGGCTCCCCCAAGAGGCTGAAGATAGGAATAGAAGGGGTGGGCCCAGCGGGAAGATGCCTGGGGGGCCTGAGCTGGGGGTGGGGGTGGGGCCTGCCAGGGGCCACAAGTGGAGGAGTAGCTCCCCCCACCGCAGACAAGGCTTTAGGGCCAAGTGCCAGCCTGTGGCAGGCCACACTGCAAGGGCCAAGAAGGGGAGAGGGTCACGGAAACCAGTCAGGCCCAGGCCCCACTCTCCCTCCCATACTCAACTGGACCCCAGCCGGTCCCATCAACCCCCTGGTCTGGACACCCCTTCTCCGAATATCCAGACCAGCCACATGGCACCGAAGCCCCACCCCCCCAATCACAGCACACCCCAGGAGCCCCACCCCCCCTTCCCAAGGAGAGCCTGGTTTCCTACCAAGGCAAATAAAGGCACCGCAAACTAGGGAAGTTAGAAAAGTCTCTTTTAAGTTTTTAAATTAAAATTTCACCCTGGTGAGATGATTGATCTGGGAAGTAAATCCAAGGCAAGCTCTCCACTCTGTCGGGTGGGACACACAGTGGGAGAGACAGGGTGGCCGAGGAGGATCAGGACCCCTGCTAGGCAGAGCCTGAGTCTCTGGCCCAAGCCAGCTCTTTAGTTCTGCACAAGCCCCGCACATCTGGCTGGCGACGGGTGACACCAGAAGAGACCCGGAGCTGCAGGGCCCCTGAGGAGCCAGCCGCGGAAGTCCGGTTAGGGAGAGCTCGGATGGCAAGGGGCCTCCACACCTTCGGCCGACGGGCGCTTCAGGGAGCCCCTGCTGTGGAACTCCTTGAGTGGATCCACGGTGGTCCTCGATTCCCGAAGGCGTGACCTCCAGGAGGCAGCTAGCAGACCCCTCATGACTGCAGGATCACCCCACCTGGCTTCCAAGCACCTGCCCTGGGACGAGGGGTGGAGGGAAGGGGTGCTGGCCCAAGGGGACGCTCTGGCCCTTCCCTGCCGACCCCAACACCTCGGTCAGCCAGCCCCATTCTCACATACATTAGTTATATTTATATTTTCATATATATTATAGTTATATATTAAAAAGAGAAAAAACTTGTCTGAAGAGAAACTCCTGAAGGACCCAAGTGGCTCAGGAAGTTTACTATCCCCCCCCCAAACCCACAAAAATTATTTTATAAAATCTTCCAGTGCGATCTTCAGGAAACCCCCCCCCGCCCCGGCTCCCCCCACCCCGGCCCTCCTGTGTCCCCACGACCCTGGACTGCCCCCCCGCCCCAGCTCCAGCCCAGCGCCCGGCAGCATCCAGTCTCATCTCTGGCCATCCATGGCAGCCATGGCTTTCTGCTGGGCGCCACCCTGCTGCGCTCCAGGGGGCCACGTGGGCTGTGGGTGGTGGAGGTGGTGGAAGCTGTGGGCCGTGGGGGAGGAGGGCGGGATCCAGGCGGCCTGGTGGCTGGGTGGGGACGAGGCCCAGAAGGGGCTGAAGCTTGCAGGGGGGGAGCAGGCCACGGCCGTCATGGGACTATTGCTGCCCTGCAAGCCCTCGGAGGCACGAAGCTTGGAGAACATGGCCAGTGCGTCAGGGAAGTTGGGCGGCGTGGCAGGTGTGTTGCTTGGGGTGCACATCTGCTGGGAGAGAACACAGGTGTCGGGAAGGTTATGGGCACACGCCACCCAACTCTGAGCCATGCCCAGTGGACCCCCAACAGAGCCTACGGCGGGGCTCACCCAGGCCGGCCCCTCCTCCATTCCCATTTTCCAGTCCACGGGCGGCTTCCACAGAACAGAAGCACCCTTCTCGCCCTGAGCCAATACAAACAATAAAGACAAACCCCGACAATTTTTACCAAAACCAAAGAGCGTTTCCTGAATGCCGGGCAGGGACGCCCCCGAGGAGTGTCCGCAGCAAAGGGTTAATTCCAGCCAGAAGCCAGGCCGCCCGATTCAAGTGAGGACAAGAGAGCAGCCCAGGACGCCAGCGCTTAGCGCCTCAGCCTGGGTAAGAAACCAGCTGGCGCCCTCAATAATCCGCCCTCAGATGTTCTGAGGTTGTTGGTCAAAGGAAGGCAGCCAGACCCAGGGTCTCCCTCCGCTGCTGAGGGCGGAGAACAGAAGCCGCACCTTCCCAGCGTCTGGCCTCACTCCACACTCTCAGCACCAGCGGGCAGACCTGGGAGGCTCTGTCTCATGATCTCAGTTGTCACAATGCCCGGGCACAGATGAGGAAACTGAGGCCCGGAGCTCAAGTCAACGGACCGAAACACACCCGCTGCAGGCTACAGGCTGCGAAAGATGGGATTCCTGGGCTCGGATTCCCAGGGCGGTGAGGGGGCCTCCGAGGCCCCAGCCCTTCAATCTCTAGCCAACCCTGACTCGTCTGTGCTTCACGCCTGGGCTCCCCGAGGACAAAAACCAGGGATTTGGGTTTCTGTGTCCCCAGCATCTCCTCCATGATGCGTTGGCAGGATGCTGGCAGAGTCTCAGCCTGTTCAGTCCCCTCAGCCCTCCTCCTGGGGGTACTTACAAACACCCCAACATCTGCTGTTTTCTGCCACTACCCTGGGAGGGAAACTCCCCAAACCCTCCAGTATCCCCCACCCTTTCTGATCAGGGACCCCAGCTGGGAAGGGCAAGGACTGAGGTAGGGTGCTGTACT